TTTTTTTTTTTTTTTTTTTTATTAAAATTCTTTATAAACGGAAAATCGTGTCTTGTCGATTTCAGCGCTGCCGGTTGTCCTTACCACGATTATAGAAGATATTTATGGCATCGAAACCTTAACGTTAACGAGAGAGGAATCGAAGTTGAAAATAGGTATACGTCGTGTACGATAGATCAGCTCGTAAACGATAATCCATTACGTTATCGAAAGAACGAAAGACTTTTAAGAAGCAAGAACCCTAACGGAAATGTCGATGAATTCTATATTAATTATATTCTATATCTTAGTGTCGTTGAAATTGAAATACGTAGTGTATTTCAAATGGAGAGTCGTCAAATTTTAATGTCAAAATGTAATATATTCAGTGGTCGCCGTGTTTAGCACGGCAGACCACTGAATCATGGTATGCGAACCCGAAATTCTGCAGACCGCGAAACATGAAAACGGAAACCACCAGGACGTGAAATTTGGAATGAACACGCATTGAAGACGCGATGATCGATATCGAAAATCCCCGAATAATAACGCACACGTTATTGTGCGAACAGAACCGCGCCGAGCTTTGATGTCAAAATTTCGAAACTTGTGTCGAAATTTAATTGACAGTTGATCAGATTTTCGCGTAATTGAACACGATCGACAAATCACTCGTTAGCGAGGTCGAAAATATTTGTCCCTCTAACGAAGGCATTCTACACTTGCCGCGTTAATCATGGTATCGTCGAGGTTTAGAATGGATAACGAAGCCTTTGCACGACGTCAATAGTCATGCGAATGAAATAGTAAGCAATCTGAAGACGCGCACCACGGGGTTCGTTAATGGAAGCTTCATCGGTTGCGACGGCAAGCCACTTCTCCCTTGTCGACCCTTGCAATCTTTGCGCGAGGCAAGGGTAGCATATTAATAAGAATCAAGCTTTAACCGTGGATTCTTGATCGTGGTAAATGATCGTTCGCGAGAGCAGCAAAGCTCTGGTCTCGTCAGCTTTGTAATTTTCTCTCGATTAAATTGTTCTTGCTTGATACATTCGTTGATGCAACGTGAACAACGCACCTAGCTTTCATACGTTAGTTTTAACGATTCATCAGATTAGATTGAACAGATTAGAAGAACGATATCAAGCTTCCAATTAAATTTAATTAACGGTGTAATGTCTGATTTGTTGAAACGAGCAGCGTAAAAGAATAATTGATTCAGGTATTCTTGTTCATTGTCTTCTTGCCGGGAGTACTGTTCTTAAGAAAAGTATTCCTTCGCTTCTCGCCTTTCTGTCTGCATTCTTTTTCTATGCAAAGAAACCAGCGTGAAATTCTCTGTCTTGCTGGCCATTAAGGAATAGAAAGTCGTCGTCGCGTCGTTCTTTCCTTGTACTTTTCCCTTTGGACCGCCGCTCAACTGGCATCCTAATCGCCCATTGTGCTAATGCATCCCTTTATTTTTCAACAGAAATTCCAGTATCGTTTATTTTTATCTTCCTTTGCAATTCATCGACAAATATATCGAATCTCGTGTACAATTTCTTTTGCAAGGCTTGAAAAGTTTGAAAATTACGAGGAAGACTCTGCAAAATACCGATTTGCTCTAGAAACAACTCTTTAAATTTCATACTCGTTCGAAATTCGGAAAAATCGATCGTCCGAAGTCTGGCGCGTGTAAACCGCTGATAAACAATCAGAACTCGGATAAACGTAAGAAAATCTTTAGGGATACTTCTCTCTCTCTCTCTGACTGTGAGAAGAATCGAGAGTATCGAGAGGGTGAAAAACAAAACACATGGACGCCTGATCCAGAAAACAGGGCGGCAGTCACGTCCAATCCTTAACATAAACTCGATCCATCTCGTTATCTTCGGCATACAGTCTGCAGAAAATTCACTGGATAAAATCAACTGAAATGTATTTGACATTGCATACATCTGCCGGAGGTGTGTGCACGTTATACTCTCGAATACAGGCTCTTAAAATTTAAAATCAGTAAAATTGTTTATATCCTCTACCGAATGGATTTTCTTCAGGGGTCACTTAGGTCACAATATTGAATTATCGGCACGTCTGATTATACGTGGGGGGGAAAAAAAAAATCGCACGTGGCCGTCTGTTCTGTCGCAGCGTACGAAGAGACATCGAACGCGTACACCGTGTATTAACGGTTTTGGAAATGATCCAAACTCGAGTCTGCTGTTTCTTCAGCAGATCCGGTGCACCTTTGGGAACAGTTCGATGGAAATTCCGATCACGTACGGCTGATTCGGTCGGATGCGTATAGAGTGTGCCGGGCTACCGCAGTTGCAACATGCACTACTCTTGGTCTTTTTCGTTCCGTTTGCTTGGCCTAACTTCGACGCGCTTTCATTCGAACGGGATTACGAGGAACAAGAGGGGAGTATCTGTCGAACTCGAGCGCGAAAACTAGTAATAAAGATGTTAGTTTACATCAGCCGAGAGAACATTGGTGTAGAACCGGGGAACTTCAACGGGTGACAAAACTTTGCCCATAAACCGGCGTCAAAATGTATGTGAAACTGAGAAGCGAGATAATGGAAATAGAAATTCTACGTACGACGTTCAGAATCTTTATCGTTTCGTTTTCGTATTTGTTTTAATTTCTCGCCGAGAAGAAAGGCTTCTGTTTGCTTCATATCGTGATTCAGGGACCAAAGTCCAAGAACGAAAAAGGAACGAACTGAGTGTAAACTTTAAACGATCCGAGTAATCTTTCCTCGTGAAATAACATTTTTATCTTACTCGACAGACAGGCAGGTTTCTGATAATTGACTTGGTCAATCGCAGCCAGAAATATTTTTATGCCAGCCGCGTGCATCGTATCTGGTATAACGAATGCAGTTGAAATAAAGCTAATTCTGAATCACTCCGGGGGAAATCTCCGAGTAAATTTACATTGAATTCTCATTTGAAATTTCACGTGCGGCTTAATCTCTCTTTGTACAAGTACTACTTTGTATGCATAAGTAGAAATAGAATTTCTCGTTTTGTAATCTTCTGTAGTTCGTCTATTGTTTTACAAGTTTCTTGTACGAGATGAAGTATCGTACATTATTGTTAGATAATTTGAGTTCGAAGCAATGACGAGAAATGATGGGAATAAATACTGTTTACGAGAATAAAGACGAAAACAAAATTTTGGATTTTCACAAGTCGACGATGTTTGGTCGATAAAGGGTTATAAATTATAACTACACCCGATATTAATTTTAATTTTAATCATTATCATTATTAGGTCCTTTGTTCGAGATGCATTCAATATTTTATCTGAGCTAACTCGCTATAGTTTTGTACGTTCGTAAATAACAACGAAATGGAATGAACTGGAGCCATCCAGCTTGATCACGCGTGATCACAGAGAATTTGAACGTTAAAAAATTAATTCTTTTTTTTTTTTTTTTTATTAACGTTGATGAATTTGAAACATTCTTGGAGTAGCATTCGTGTCAGCAACTAATCAGGTCAGGCGTATTTGCTATTGCGCGGAAACCATCAAAAGCGACCACATTGCAGAGAAACATGCTATACCTATGTAGAGGGGTTATCCGAAGAAAGCATTGTCCATGGCTTCAATCCTTATCCGGCGTAAAGTTACGTCGATATACTTTTCTTTCATCCAAGAAATGGCAGCTATCCATGGTCAAGAAACAGACATTCACGAGACATCTGATTTCACATGACCGAGATATTTCCTTTGATAACAATAAAATAAAGTAAAAAAAAAAAAGACAAGTATCCATACAACATTGAATTTTTACCGTTTAAAAATTGTTTAAGAAATTAATTTAAAAAAAAATGAATTAACGAAATGAAGTGTATAATGAAATTTAAAATATCACAAAGTACGACTGATATGTGAAATTGTAAATATCTATGTTTGTGTGTTGGCTTCTGTTCTGCTGTTATTTTCCTCTCGCCGAAATAAGAACAAAGAAGTTCAAAGATTTATGAAACTTTGTTTCAGTCCTTTTATCGGTTGAGACTGGCTGGCTGTGCGCAGGTGTAACGTGGTTATCGCATTTCTATCAAACCTGCACCATCGGTCAAGTTAAAGATGTAATGTTGGGTAAGAATCTCTAATCCTTTCAATTCTGTAGAAGTTAAAAGTAAGAAATATACTTGTACAGAAACTGGAAACGACATTTCGAGAGAACAACGGCGCAGTGTAACTTTTCAAGAGATAAAGAAAAAAAAAAAGTCGAATTTTGGTAATTTACCAGTTTCGCTGTTGTGTCATTAGTCTCCCAAGATAGCGGCACGACGTAATCTAGCCAGTGACTTTTAGCATGCAAGTGCTGAAAGAAAATTCCACCTGTCCTATTTTTCATAGATAAGAAAATTCACCGGTAGCAAAATTTCATATTTAATTTAATTTCGTGGACAGAAGTAACGATCTCTGCGCTGCTAATCGGCCAAATGGTCTGCGAAATATTTCGCCGCGCTATCTTTGTAATTGTGTAAACCGAGAAAACGTGAAACGAGTAAACGTTTCTGCATCCGCAATCAGAACAAGGACGATCTTAGCTTTCACTTTGGCCGCAGGTTTAGTGGTATCAAATTGGTGCGTATTGGCGTCAGTGATGGTAACAGTGTGGTGCACGTACGACGCAGCGGGTAGATCGTGGGTGAAAATGAAGAAATACCAACGAAGCATGAGGGAGGCGGAATCGAGATGCGGTAAATTACATTACAACCGAAGTGGTAGCAGAAACAGAAACTGGCGGCAAAGGTAACGACTTACAACTTTTGTTTCGCTTGTCTGACTTATTATCGCTGATTCCACTGATATTCTTTATTCTCCTAATCACTTGCTACGGGATGGTCGGCAAAGTCCTATCGAATTAGTTTCGTTCGTCTTTCAAAATTTCTACAATACAAATAGCGTACGAACAATGTGAATAATAAGATTAACGAATGAATTTATATAGTACATTTCATAATTTTCTCTGGTGCGGTGACTTCTTTTGTAAATTTCAACGAATAAAAATTGACGGACATTCGGTACTTTTAGAAAAGTTATACGAGCGTACCAGGATAGTTGGGACAACAGATGCCGGCTTCTGTTCTGCTGCATGGGCAATTCCGATAGGAATCGAGTAAGTGTCGTCTGATATGAAATCTTTTGAAGAAATTTATTATATCGGTACATCGAATTGTTGTCATCGAGAAACACAACTTGTACGTCATTATACAACAGAATTTGTACGTCATTATTTTCATTGTTATATACGTTCTCGCTCAATTTATGAAAATAAGATATCGTTTATTATTGGCATTGAGGCGCAAATTATTCTTGCTTAATTAAGATTGATTAAGGATAATTGGAACGTGTTCTTAGATTTTCTCAGTTCGAAACTTTTAATAAAAAAAAGTGAAAAAAAAAATAAGATATATCAAACCCTGATAAGATTCCCTGATTATTTGCCGAAATATTGAACTTGAAAGTGATGACAATGAAGCTTCTGCACCGATCTAATAAAGCCGGTCCAATCGATTTTCAATGAGAATCATTCCTTCCCAGAATTCGTTCGCGGACATCGCCAGACTATTGAGCGATTTCTTCCGAGATCTCGATGTGGTTCCATCGGACGTGGTCGCCGGTCTGGTGCTATTGAGAAAATTCCAGAAAATCGAACGGGAACTGATAGTGAAGCAACGAAAGAACGATACGTACGAGTTTCTGTCCGGCGTACCAGTTACACCCCGCACTAAATTCTTGTCCTTGACCGAGGATGGCGATCTGGGCCACTTCCAGTCGGCCATTCATTATATGCACTTTGCTCTCGCTGCTTATGGCTGGCCCATGTTCCTCGTTAATCATTCTACCGGTCTTTGTCAGCTGTGCACGAGGTAATGTCATCGAGCATTCGACGCGCGTGTGTCGTGGCTCTGTAGCTGTCGATTGATTTTCAGCGATGTTTCGCGCGGTTTGCTCGACTTAAATCGTTTAATCGATCGATGCTCGGTTTTTAATTATATCCACTACGCGTTTTCAACGCGCTCGTTTCTCTTTGAAACGAATTTCGTTCCATCTTGTCTACATACTCGCAAAGTTTCCATTGCAGAAAAATGAATGCCAGAACTTTTCTACTGAAGATTTCAAGACACGGTTTTTTTTTCTCTCTCTTTGTTTTATCAAAGTCGTCCGATTAATTAATAGCGAAACGGCTGAAGCCATTTGCGCGGCTACTTAATTTCTAGAATGTAAGCATCGAGGGGAATAAGTTGCTTGGAACTTTGTGGCAGATTGCGATGCGGCTGTTTCCCGTGCGGTGGACACGAAGACGAGGCGACCGTTGTGGAAGACAATTGTTGCCAGTGCAATTACGCGGCGTTGAGAAAGATGGTTGACGTCGCTGAAGTGGAGGTCATTTATGCGACTTTTCACGTCGACGTCGGTGAGACGCCGTTCTTCGTCGCGCTCGATTACACGAAGAAAAAGGTTTCGCGCGTTTTCCTCATTGATTCGCATGCATCGAACCGCGTTCACTCGAGAAACAATGAGAAATACAAGAGAAATTAGAATCATCGATATGTAGATATGTCGTATCTTGCGATGCTCGTTCGCGACGATTTTCGTTGACCGGTTGATCCGGAATTATCAGCGTACAAACTGCAATCCACATCATGATTATTATCGATCTCGAGATTAAAGGGAACTGCGACACGTTGATCGTTTAATTGTAGAATAAATGAACTTCGCTTAGCGACTTCATGAATTTTTCAACGGCTATTAAACGTGTCGGCGAACTTCGTCGCGGCGATATTCGTGAGATGTTGTTAACATCTATATACCTACACTTACTATCGTATCTATAGAATCGTATGCTTAATCCTTAATGAATAAGTGAAGAACCATTTCGCTTAACTCTGCTAAACTTCTCTCGAGTTCAGCGTCTATTTAAATTTTTGAATAATTTAGCGATTGTTTAATTTAATAAAGCATGAAACTTGATTGAGAACGGAGTGAAATTGACTCGAATTTCTTATCTCCCTTTGTCCATTGAAAAAAGAAAAAAAAAAAAAAAAGGATGTAAGAGTGTGAAGGAAGATTGAGAATTTTAACATAGTGAAGGAAGTGGATCGAAATAATGAAAAACCAATAGTTTGTCTCTTGTTAAAATTTTGACCGTAGAAAATTTTAATCCTCGAGTCTGGTACGATGTGGTTTAAAGGTCGCTTTATCCCGAACTCGAGCGAACTTGAGAACGGTTAATTACCAATTTTCTGCTGGCTGTTTTCAAGGTTGTCGTTAGTATACGAGGAACCCTCAGCATGAAGGATGTATTAACGGACTTGAACGCGGAGGGTGAAGTGTTACCATTGTCACCACCGAGAGACGACTGGCTGGGCCACAAGGGTATGGTCCAAGCAGCTGAATACATTCGAAAAAAGCTGCTCGAAGAAGAAATTATAACCCGCGCTCTCGCCAAGGTATTGTATTTCGCGTTGTAAATGCAAATGCCTTCTACCTATGCATATATATATATATATATATATATATATCAAATTGTTGGAAGAAATAAATTGCGTCTTATCACCAGCCTCATTATCTATTTCGTCAAGAGTTAGAATAATAATACACTGTATACAAAATATATAGTCTTATTCTATTTGCATTTTGGTCTCTTTCAATATTTAAAAATAATTCACGATTAACTAAACTTTCACGTGCAATAACACGAATGTGTTTTAGCACGAAAAGATCAAGAATCTGCTATAATTGGAAACTTTATAAATTTTCGCCGCAGGACACGTCGAGAGGGACCCATCAGTTTGGTCTGACACTCGTTGGCCATTCCCTAGGAGCGGGTACAGCGGCTATCTTGGCGATTTTGCTTAAGCAAGACTACCCTGATCTGGTGTGCTTTTCGTTCGCTCCACCGGGTGGTCTCTTGAGCATGCCTGCTCAGCAATACTCGCAAGAATTTATTACATCGGTGGTAGTCGGGAAAGATGTCGTACCTAGGATAGGCCTCAGACAAATGGAGAGCTTAAGAGCTGATCTCATCAATGCTATAAAAAGGAGTGTCGATTCAAAAGTACGTACTTTATCGTGAAAGAAATAGAAAATGGTAGGAACTTCTTGAACTTTTCGAACAAATGGAATGCCATTCACATTGGACAGATCGTTCATTTCCCAAATATTCAATATACGCACTGGTGTGCTTTCCTTAACGTAGGAATTCACAGCAATCGAATATCAGAGAGTTTCCAGGTCAATTTCAAACTTTAGAAAAGTCATATTTTCACGGGCACCGTCGTACTAACTGCACGTTAGTACGTGGCAAGGAGAATGATAAGTGCTCCCATATAATCAGGCACAGAGTCGCGACATCAATTGTAACGATCGTTTCAGTGGAAAACGATAGCATGCTCGGTGATGTGTTGCGGTTGCGGCTCCACCCCTACGTCGGCTGCGAATTTAGAGGCTGGTGGATGTATCAGCGAATATCAGAGGGACAAGGACCTGGCTCGTTCGCAGACCGTTGTTCCAAGCGACTCCAGCATCGCGTTGACATTGCATAGGCCACTGTACCCGCCTGGCCGAATCATACACGTTGTTCGACATCATCCCAACAAGGGAGAGTAAGTCCGTTCGTTCATGTATTATCGTTTCAAATTCAATTTCGAACGTCGCTTGGAACGTCGCAGAAACACGAAAACGTTGAAAAATTGACGCAATGTCTCTCGAGACGTAAGGCGACCAAGAGCAATATTTTAATGAATGATGTTTTTCGTTTCTAGGCAAAAGTATGAGAGCCGTTGGAGGTACGTTTATTGGAAAGTTTGCATTTTCAGGGTTGCTCTGGGGGTAATTACATCTTGGGGATGTGCCCGCATGCGTTCCTTGGAGATTTCGTATTCTACACTCCTTCCTTTGAAATCTATCGTCGCACATCTCTGACTGTTTCCTGTCAGAGAAATTCTCATACGAATATCTTTACATTCATATATTTGCATGAGTCAAATTTATGAACGAGTACATTGTGTGTTACACCGCGCGCGATACGTAGCGTCAAAAATCATAAATTTTTATGTACGGAATAATTTCTCGCAAGACGAGTGGTACTCGATTATTCTCAAGGTTGTTTGAAACGTCATTAAAACGCGCCAGATTTAGAATAGAAAAATGTAATAAACTATACATTGATTTTGATTGTCAAAAGACTATGTCAAAGGATTTTCAAACTTTGAAAACCGTCGGACCACGTCGTTTCATAAAGATAATGTACATAGTTCGTATCGGTTCGAATGTTCAAATGTGCGGATGCATTTAACTGCATGAATCTCAAGTAGCAATTAGTGTCTCGTAGAAGATTAAACAACTGCAATTGGAGCATACGAATATCAATTTCTTTCCTTCTATTTCAGACAAATGTTGCACAAACATGAACCCGTGTACCAAGCGCTTTGGGCAGGACCGTGTGACTTCGACGAGGTGTTGATAAGCCCGGTGATGATACAGGATCATATGCCGGACAATATGCTGAAAGCATTGAACAAGGTAAGCCAGATCGATTCGATAATTCGTCAGATAAAGAGGTCGCAACAGCCGGTTTGCCGAATGTCCTCGGTGAGGCCCGGTAATTACGAACTGTTGGAGGAAACGACGGACGAACCGGACTCGAAGGAAGATGACAAGCCTCGAAACATAGTAACGAATGTAGAGAGTAACGGATACGTGAAAGATGGAGATGTTAGTAGCGTGCGAACTGAAAGTACTCGAAACGTCGCGGAAACGGACAATGAGACTATCGTGGTCAATGTCGAGGTACATGAGCAAAAGGAGACGAAGTCTACATCTTGATGACGAGACGAAGCTCTTCCATTATGAATATCGGTTCCTCTTACTGTTAATATTCACATTTGCGATGAGAAAGTATAAATTGACAGAGATCGCAGGAATTTTATATTTCTTTTATTTCCTGTTCTCAATTTTCTACGATAATCTTTGCTCTAACAGCAGTATCATGACTCTTATATTGTTTAATTGTACAAAAGTGTTCTTTGCCAATGTTATAAATATGATGTTGTTGTACGATTAATGTGGATGTTAAGAGCGATAAAGATAGCACAAATTCTTTTTTCGCGACAGAACTATTAACCCAGTGATCATTTAGCAAGCAATATTATTCCTTTTTAGGGTAGACTTTTTCTGTGTTTGTTAGAAATTCATTTATCAAATTGTTTGACCAATGAAAGAACTGCAAGATTGAAGCGAATTTTGATCAGTTTGTTGCGCAGTGTTTCTATATATCGTTATGTATTGAAATACACGTAAAACCACGATTGAAGTGGTTGCAGTTTTTCTTAAAACAGGGTAGTACTATTTTATTATTATCGTAGTTTTATTATTATTTTTATTTAATTTTACGTTCCTTCATTTGTGTTTAAGAACTATCTAATTTATAGTATAATTTTATCCTTTTTTTTTTTAGTTAGTTTTTAGTATGTAGCGTAATATTGAAGCAATAATATTAATAATAATAATAAAAGTTACTATAGCGAATATTTCTCTTTTTTACCTTTTTATTTTCATTTAAATTGATCAAGTAGTTGACACGCATGTTCTTTGACACTGCATGGATTACCGTAACATTTGCAAACAATTATATTTGTAGCTTTTTTCGCATAATTCTATGCGTCTCTCTTTCTTTGCAATCATTTTTTGTTTTTCTCCGTATTTTACTTTATATTTTTACTTAAATTGATTGCATCCAAAACGACTCTTCAACGCAATAATTTTTACAAGAAAAAAAAAATTAATGCAACAATCAATTTTATTCAATAACTGGACTTTTTGATAAGAAAGTAATATATCTTCTGTATAATATTGTAATTACATAAATATTATATCACTAAATCTTTCATTCTGTTGTCGTTTTGATTGCATATTGTAACAACTTGATTCTGTATAATTTTGTAATGTATGCTACTTTTGATCAATATATTTTATACCATGAAAACGTTGTTATTTATTTATTTATTAGATTTTGCTTCCTAATTTTATGCCCGAATCATTTGAAACTAATGTGAAAGGCAAGCACGGTTCATCATGTATTATTTATATTACGGTATTAGATTATACTTTTCACTTTATTTAATTGAGAATTAATTGAAATGGACTTTATGTAAATAATACACGTACAAGAAAATCATTATACACTCGTTTCGTTTGATTTTTCGCTAATGTGGCTATTGGTGTTCGCTTTGCGTCTTGGATCGTTAGATTCTCTCTCCCTAATTTCACGCTAATGTTTCAGTCTCGACTGGCAATTGCAGAAAAGAAAGAAAAAAAGAAAAAAAGATGGTGATTAATCTGCTCTCGCTTTGCATGCTGGTGACGAAATAAACGATTCCCGCATTTCGTAGAACGTAGCCGATTGCGTGAAATATATCCAAAATTAATTGAAAATCCGCGACAAACATTGGTGTGTAAGCGGAGAGGCTAAATCCCTTAAATGTAGAAGTAATCCGTCGGATTAATTCGAAGAACCAACGTGGTAGTTATATATTATAGTTTAGCGGCAAAAAACTCGCTTCGTTGTTTTTGTGCCAATTGAAATCTCAGCTCCTTTCAGAATCTCCGCCATCCCATCCGGTAGTAGTAAAAGATTAATCGATTTCCGCAACTACGTAGCGTTAGAATTAGGTGT